TTATCTGGTGGTGGTCTGAGTCTTCGTTTGGGTCTTGGTCTGGTGGTATAATGCAACCTATTAGGTTGCATTATACTGGTTTACATGGAAAAATCCCTATTAGGTTGCATTATACTGGTTAACATGGAAAAATCCCTATTAGGTTGCATTATACTGGTTTACATGTACAAATCCCTATTAAGTTGCTTTATACTGGTTTACATGTAAAAACCCCTATTAGGTTACATTATACTGGTTTACATGTAAAAACCCCTATTAAGTTCCATTATACTGGTTTACATGTAAAAACCCTATTAAGTTGCATTATACTGGTTTACATGAAAAAAAACCTATTAAGTTGCATTATACTGGTTTACATGGAAAAATCCCTATTAAGTTGCATAGTACTGGTTTACATGGAAAAATCCCCATTAAGTTGCATTATACTGGTTTACATGAAAAAAACCCTATTAAGTTGCATTATACTGGTTTACATGGAAAAATCCCTATTAAGTTGCATTGTACTGGTTTACATGGAAAAATCCCTATTAAGTTGCATTATACTGGTTTACATGGAAAAAACCCTATTAAGTTCCATTATACTGGTTTACATGTAAAAAAAACCCTATTAAATTGCATTATACTGGTTCACATGAAAAAAAACCTATTAAGTTGCATTATACTGGTTTACATGGAAAAATCCCTATTAAGTTGCATAATACTGGTTTACATGGAAAAATCCCCATTAAGTTGCATTATACTGGATTACATGAAAAAAACCCTATTAAGTTGCATTATACTGGTTTACATGGAAAAATCCCTATTAAGTTGCATTATACTGGTTTACATGGAAAAATCCCCATTAAGTTGCATTATACTGGTTTACATGGAAAAATCCCCATTAAGTTGCATTATACTGGTTTACATGAAAAAACCCTATTAAGTTGCATTATACTGGTTTACATGTACAAATCCCTATTAAGTTGCTTTATACTGGTTTACATGTAAAAACCCCTATTAGGTTACATTATACTGGTTTACATGTAAAAACCCCTATTAAGTTCCATTATACTGGTTTACATGTAAAAACCCTATTAAGTTGCATTATACTGGTTTACATGAAAAAAAACCTATTAAGTTGCATTATACTGGTTTACATGGAAAAATCCCTATTAAGTTGCATAATACTGGTTTACATGGAAAAATCCCCATTAAGTTGCATTATACTGGTTTACATGAAAAAAACCCTATTAAGTTGCATTATACTGGTTTACATGGAAAAATCCCTATTAAGTTGCATTGTACTGGTTTACATGGAAAAATCCCTATTAAGTTGCATTATACTGGTTTACATGGAAAAATCCCTATTAAGTTGCATAATACTGGTTTACATGGAAAAATCCCCATTAAGTTGCATTATACTGGATTACATGAAAAAAACCCTATTAAGTTGCATTATACTGGTTTACATGGAAAAATCCCTATTAAGTTGCATTATACTGGTTTACATGGAAAAATCCCCATTAAGTTGCATTATACTGGTTTACATGAAAAAAACCCTATTAAGTTGCATTATACTGGTTTACATGAAAAAATCCCTATTAAGTTGCATTGTACTGGTTTACATGGAAAAATCCCTATTAAGTTGCATTATACTGGTTTACATGGAAAAAACCCTATTAAGTTGCATTATACTGGTTTACATGTAAAAACCCCTATTAAGTTGCATTATACTGGTTTACATGGAAAAATCCCCATTAAGTTGCATTATACTGGTTTACATGAAAAAAACCCTATTAAGTTGCATTATACTGGTTTACATGAAAAAACCCTATTAAGTTGCATTATACTGGTTTACATGGAAAAATCCCTATTAAGTTGCATTATACTGGTTTACATGGAAAAATCCCTATTAGGTTGCATAATTACACTGAAGTCCTTGAAACTGCTGAAGTCCTTGAAACTGCTGAAGTCCTTGAAACTGCTGAAGTCCTTGAAACTGTTGAAGTCCTTGAAACTCTTGAAATCTTGAAACTGCTGAAATCCTTGAAACTGTTGAATCCTTGAAACTGTTGAATCATTGAAACTGTAGAAATGTCTGAAAGAGCTGAAGTCCTATTAAAATGCATGGGCCTATTAAAATGCATTGCAGAATTCTCAATGCAGATTTTTGTCCGATTGCGGAAAAACCGGAAATCGCTGAAGTCCCAAAAGTAATAGCAATAATCTCCCAAACATGTGGAACGTTTTGATGTATAACTTGTGGAAATTGTTGAAAATGTGAAAGCTGTGAAACGTGTCAAAAAAAATGACGGAATAAAGAAATACAAAACCAATGGTTGACTGCGGAAGGTTCCGCAGTCAATCAATAAAGGCAACTAGCATTTTGACTTGTCCTCTATTTACCCACGTGTAAATAAGAACAAACAGACATGGGCTACACTGACGTGGCGGACACCGGAAGTTTACATACACTTTGTAAACATGTATGTGTGTGCTGGGCCAGTTACTTCATCCATTGGCTCAGTGCAACAATATTGAGAGAGGTGATCATTATTTCTACAAAGTCAGAAGTTTACATATATTTTGTTAGTATTTCTATTATAATTGCCTCTAAAGTTGTAGTGGCTGTCTTTTCCACAAGATTCTCATTGGAATTTAGCAGAAGTACTTTGCCATGACCACTTCAAAACATAAAATTGTTGTTCCGACACTTTACTTTAAAAGCAATATTTAAGACATGTACATGTCATGCGACACTAGACATAGGGCTGGGCGATATGGCAAAAAAGTAAAATCTCAATTTTACTTCCTGCTTTGGACGATGTCGATTTTAAATCGATTTTCATTAAAGTCACTCAAGACAGACTTTGCCCTTAAAATATTGTTTATCTTCCCGCTCAATATTTAAGTTTCAAAACTATTTTTTATTTGTTTCCCCCAATACATATTATAAAAGTCTTGTACAGACTGTGCTGATATCGCAAGTTTAATCGATGTGTGCTGCTGGAACTCTCACAATATCCCTCATTCGATTTCACAATTTTCACATTTTTCACAAATTCGATTTTTTCAAAAGCCGATTAATTGCCAAAATTCGATTTATTGCTCAGCCCTAACTAGACAACAAACTTTTCTCCTCAGAACCTGCTGGTGATCCTTTCCACATGTGTTTTCTCTATTAGGCTCAACTTTCTGCAGCCAGTTTACTGAAACAACATCTCTAAAAGTGATCACCAACATTCATACTATTTCTGTAAAGGTAAAACACAACAATGCTAGAAGCTACATTGATTCTACTTTCAATATAATCAAAATGCTACTTATTACAGAACAAAACAGGTATATATATTTGACATGTGGCTGGATAAAGGCAGATTAAAGCCGTACACTGTGGTTGCTTCATACTTCAACAGGCTTTTGTCTGGCAGAGGAAGTCAGCAGCTTGGGGACCACTTAATACACTGCAAAGCTCTTTGGAATATATTCAGTTAACTTGTGGCTCAGATCTCCCGCTAGAATCAGGGCATCAAAGATTTCCTGCTTTGTGGCGCCTTCTATTCTTTCTTATCATTCAAATGACATTTTGAATCATTTTAAATCAACGGAAAACAATAGCAAAGAATTTCAAGGGACCAAACTGTGCAGAACTTCATGAACCATGCACTGTTTACATAACTCTTGATTTGTTCCCGTCATTGAGATATTTCAAAGGATAACTGTCAGTCTGCTGGCTCATTGCTGTCCAAAATAAACATCACCGTCCTCCGCCGCCCACTATACACTTATAACTGTTCATTACATAAGATGGGGCAAATGGACCAGACAGTTCCCCAAGGGCCTCTCCATCACCACCAGACTACAGAATGGGCTCTGAATTAAAGCGTGTACAGGAAGGTTAAGAGGTGATGCACAGGGACTTCAGACTGATAACCTAAATATGAGCTAATGGACAGCGCTAAGGTGCATTGTTGAGTCCTGGATCATAATGTACGCTACTCGGACTGCTATTGTTCTTAATCTCAGAGGAATTTTGCCACCAGGAAACATGCATATATACGGCATAACCAGAACCAAGCACTGGCCCTGGAGTTCCCTTGAAATTAAATGTGTAATTTTGTAAGTGTAAATTTCTGGCGTGGTCTTAGAGTCGGGATCTTAACTTTCAAACCACAACCGTGTAAAAAACTAGTTCCTCACTCTCAAACAAGTTCATCACTAGTTGTCACATGCATTTTTTTTGGCTCTGTCTTATTCGATTAGCCTTTTCAGACAGAAAAGTGGAAAAGAAAGAGTACCCGCACTCAGCCAATCAGGGTCAACTAGTGATTAATCATTGGGCTCTCTCTTACAAGTATACAAACACACATGTTTTCTAATTCAACTCAATTCAATTTACCCCATCACTCTTTCTGTGGAGCCAAACAACATTATTTACAAAAAAAAAAGTCTTGATCCAGTGAATAACGAATGCGCTGTGAAACTACTATCAATGCATTATATGAACAATGATCTTCAGTTCCAAGATATTTCATTCAAGAAACATAATACAATATAATAACACAAATAAATCAGTGCATGAATATTGTTGAAATGCAGTCTACTCCAACCATGAGGGCAAGATTTAAAAAAAAAGAAAGGCCTCGTGTTATATGGATCAGATAAAGTGTCCCAGTGTCAGCCATTGGAAACATCTGGTCTGTGGGAGGGGGTGTGAGCCTGGGGCATCTACAAGTGTTTTGGGAAACTAACGATGTTACACTCACAAGATCCATGGAGACTTGAGCTTGTATTACTGATATATATAATGCCAAATACACAACCTTTAACATACAAGTGGGGGTGTTGGTGTTTGTGGGGGAGACTTTAGTAAAAGGGTGGAGAGGGTTATTAACATGTAAGAGCGTGCCTCAGATGGGATGCCCTGTGCATATTAAAGAACCTTTTTATGTTTGTGTTGTTTACTATGGCGTGGGTATTCTCACACTTGCAGCCCGGCGTTAAAAGTCACAAAAACTCACCGAAAGAAACTCTAGTGTCCCGACATAGTCCCGCTCGGTCTTCAGCAGCTCGTTGAGGACGCAGACGCGCAATCGGAGCTGCTTCTCCAGGTCCTTCCCGCTCTCTGCCCGGTGCTCACTCCGACTCTCCTCGGTCATTGTTGGGCAGTGAATGCAGAGCAGCTCGGAGAAGTTTCACATCACACACTGGGAGGCAAAGGCAAACTTCTCCAAGTGCAAGGAGGCAGCGCGCAACCGGTGTTTACGCGCGCTGTGTCCCCTGGGAAAGAGTCCGTGGAGAAAGTCTATGGGATAAAAGTGAAACTAATGCAAAGTGATGCGCACACGGCTGCAGAGTGACCGAAACCAGCTCCAGCCTCGACTCCAGTGGGAAAGTTGTCTCCATGTGACTTTCCTCATCCCTCCTGCCTTCCTCCGTCAAGGACCAGAGTTAAGCCGCCGAGGTACAGTCAAACTACATCCGGGTGTACTTTTCACAATAAACCCTCAACTGCTACTTTAAGTCGTGGATATTTTATTTTGAAACTTTGAATCCGAAAAGCAAGACCGTCACAACTGACAGTCTATAGTCATAATATGTAAATGATTTATGAGTGAAATGTTCCATACCAAACCTTTAATCCACACTAAAAACGCCATATATAAAAGATTCTCAATCTCAAACCAAATGTTTCTATCATTAGTTTTCACATACATTTTTGGCCTGTGTCACATCTTTGGATCAGCTTTTTCACTCAGAAAAGTGAAACAGTACCAGCCTCACTCAGCCCAAAGCGTCGAATTGTGACTTGCAGAGCTCTGTCATACAATAATGCAATAGATCACATGTTTCCTAAGATAAAATAAAGACAGCATGTTGTGGTCTGATTTGCTCCAACTTTTATTTGGTGTCTCCCCCTCAGAAAGTGTATTGTAAACACATAACTAAATAGTCAAAAATGGTCAGTTACTACAAGTTTTTTTCACATATAAAACAAACAAGCAAGACATGTGAGTGAGTGGCTGTTTAATGAAGGTTCTAATGTATTTAATAATATTCATAATCATACAATTTGATTCAGCTACTTATATAAAATATATTCTAAACAATTTAAGGAATAGAGAATTTGCCTTAAGTGGTAAACGAGTTTCTCTGAATGATACAAACTGCTCTGGGGGCCCCCAAACCCACAGTGCCACAGCAGCAGTCTCTGTAACCATGTCCCATTACTTTAACAGCTCCTTTCAGTCACCACTCCTCACTTTCCACTTTAAAACCCTGCAGCAGCTGCTTAATGAAGCTGATGAATTTCTGCATGAAACCTCAGCTCATGCAACAGTAAGCAGCAAATGGATTTATGACAAGTATTGGTGCCCAGGAGGCGTAGCCCCCAAACACATAAACACACACAGACGTGTAAAAAGCCAGTGGTTAATGATGAGACACCAAAATAAGGGTTTACAAAAAGGACATTTTATGCATTATACACCAAACTACAACTGATTTAAAACTTCTCAAACAAATATTAAACAACGCTTACATGCTTTCCTTTACTTTTAGGAAGTATGTTTACGGTCACAAACAGAAGACCATGGAACTTTGTGGAGCCCCCCACCCACAGCAGGGGAACTCTCCATGATCACTTAAAAACAAACCTTATAAACAAAAGAGAGATCTGAATTAAGGCAGAACAGAAAACAGAAAAGTCAGCTAAGTCATTTATACCCCAACTATTGCTTTTATACGAAAAAAAACAACATTTCCTTCACAATAATGTATATTACGTCAACATATATTCAAAGTATGATATGGATACGTTGTGTGAGACCATAGAGTGAATCGCTTGTGTGGGTGAGACGAGGCCATCAGGAGGGCAGTGCCAGATCTGGACACATACTGCCCTCTACTGGTTATATGCAACACTGCAACTTCTAGTATAGCATCTTACCTGAAGAGGGGGCTGTTGTTGCATGGTTGGAGGATATGTGTGCGGCTCCTTATTTCTTCAACACCCCTGAGCTTTACCATTTGTAAATTGACTGTGTGATTTACTCCGGGTTTAACGTAGACGTTTTGGAACAGGTACATCATGTGTTCTCTAAAAAAAAAAAAAAAAAAAAAAACATCTTTGGTCTCAAATTAATTATTTGCGGCTTAGTGACTTGCTGTGCTCCGCTGGGAGGCCCTGATCCGATTGGACAAGGAGTTTAGGTCACAATAGCTGCCTCTTGTTCAAGCCAAAAACACATAAATTACAAGTACTGCACGGCCCGTCTTTATCAGATCTACTGTATCTTTTTTGGCTGACAATCTTCCAACCCCACTGCAGTTATTCTATTCATGTCTATTTGAATAACATGTAGCACTACTCAAAAAGTAGTCATAATTATATACACATTCATATCAATATACATTATACATATACTTGCACTTGCTGGGGATACATCCAGGAATGCATATAGGAGTAGAACCATTGGCATGTTGCAGTATACATTTAGCCTTGGGCCCCACAGAAGGAAATATGTGAATTACACATTTGACAGAAAGATTGCAAGCACAGCATACTGAGGACTACCACTTATAAACCTTGAAGAAAGTTGAAATAAATAGTAAGTAATGGGTAAGGAGGATGCATTGTGCTAGCAGCAAAATCCTCCCTTAGCAACTGCTTGTAAAGTGAGCAAACACAGACAATGCCAGTGAAATATGAGCGTAATGAAAGAATAATGTGTCTCAAGTGAAACACACATAAACAAAATGGGTTAACGTTATAATTGTCAAATATTTATGATCTTTTTCAATTATAGCATAGCCAGTTTTACGTTGTTCTCAGTTGCCAAAATTCTGCGTTAGAGATTTAGTCTAAAACATTTTGAATTTCGTTGCTATGTAATTGAGTGGTTGTATCCTTTTCTGTGGCCTGCAGGTGAATCCAACAATAGTGGATTTTGTTTAATCTGCATTCTTGTTTTATGGCTTGCCACTTTCAAGTTCTTAAGAAATTCTTATGTGCAGCTACAGTGTGAGTGTGAAAATGTCCCTGCAGAGCCAAAAGGCCATTGTCTCCAAAGTGACCAGCTATCTTTAACCCTTCACCTCCCTGCATTAGCTCTCCCCTCCGGGTTCAACAGGGTCAGCCATACGTATGCACTCGCAGGGGGACTTAGGAGGGCTTTGGACGTCTACAACTCACAGATAGCACAAGAGGGCATTTCTTTCTTGCATTTCTATATTATTTTTATTTGTATATCCTTATTAAATGTTGGAAAAACACAATTCGTTCCCCATTGTCTCCCCTTTGGTCTATGCAGGATACTTACTAAATCAACCAGTGTGGTACCAAGCTCTTTTATTATCATTTTTAATTGTATCACAATATTTTAAACAAGTCCTAAGGTCAAAACATTCCGATACTAGTCCGATACCTCAACGATACAATACAATACAATTTAACGTTTGGTGTGTTTGGGTGAAAAGCAACTTATTTTAGAAAAATAGCATCGTTTTACATACAAATTTTTCACCGAGAAATCTATGTTGTTTATTTTGTTGCTATTTCGATACTGACAATGTGTTGAATTGTCCTGTTGCATGTGTCTTGTTTCAGTGCCAATACTTAAGCATAGAGTGATATCTGATTTTCTATGCTTTTGATAACCCTTGGCTGACTTTTTGGGAAATCATATTGAAATGATTCTTGAAAATGATATACAGCTTGTTTTAAATGAATATCAATGGCTGTTCTATAGTGCATATCACCTGCCCCTAATTGGCTCATGAATCCATGCAAAATACAGCATAATTACTGCAGGAAGGAGCCTAAAACGTCCTCCTTTCCTATCTTCTCAAAGGCCTCATTCACAGCACTCAGCACTCAGAAAGAAGGTGATTTAATGGAGCATGGTGCTGCTCTGAGTTCCTGCAGACTTTGGCTCTTTTGTGACAAGCTGTGCCCCAAACATGGCACCAGAACCAGCGCCGCACACCGCCCGGGCCTCCTCTGCATTAAAACAACATGGGAACCACCGCACTGTGACCAATGCCAGCTCGCAGACCTACCAATCCCACCACACGATATACATAGAACGCAGCGGCAGCATTTTTACATGAATATGCTTCTGTGTGCAGTGGTAAAAACATAGTGGTTAATGTTATGCTCTTGAGAAAAGCCACTGCCAGTAATTCCACTTCAGTTAACGTTAAAGTGTTTCATTTTGATATTGATGACATTTTCCCCTGAAAGAAGCGTTAAACAAAGATGCAGTGAAGTTTTGCATTTACATGACAAGCTGAAAAGTGTTACTTACAGCTGTGAAGAGGATGTGAAATGACCACATTTGTCTGTTTGTATTTGGGAAAACCATGAAAGCTTATTGAAAATATGTATTGGACCTGTTTTCTTACAGTACTTGATAGTTTGCAGTAGACGTTTTAGTGCCAGGTCCACCAACTGGGACTCTGAGGAGCACAGGGACTGGCCTCTATACTGGGACTTTGAGGAGCACAGGGACTGGCCTCTATACTGGGACTCTGAGGAGCACAGGGACTGGCCTCTATACTGGTCACTCTGAGGAGCACAGGGACTGGCCTCTATACTGGTCACTCTGAGGAGCACAGGGACTGGCCTCTATACTGGTCACTCTGAGGAGCACAGGGACAGGCCTCTATACTGGGACTCTGAGGAGCACAGGGACTCGCCTCTATACTGGGACTCTGAGGAGCACAGGGACTGGCCTCTATAATGGGACTTTGAGGAGCACAGGGACTGGCCTCTATACTGGTCACTCTGAGGAGCACAGGGACTGGCCTCTATAATGGGACTTTGAGGAGCACAGGGACTGGCCTCTATACTGGTCACTCTGAGGAGCACAGGGACTGGCCTCTATACTGGTCACTCTGAGGAGCACAGGGACTGGCCTCTATACTGGTCACTCTGAGGAGCACAGGGACTGGCCTCTATACTGGTCACTCTGAGGAGCACAGGGACTGGCCTCTATACTGGTCACTCTGAGGAGCACAGGGACAGGCCTCTATACTGGGACTCTGAGGAGCACAGGGACTGGCCTCTATAATGGGACTTTGAGGAGCACAGGGACTGGCCTCTATACTGGTCACTCTGAGGAGCACAGGGACTGGCCTCTATAATGGGACTTTGAGG